AACTAAGCAGCTGGGAAGATTAATCGTGATTAAAAATAAAAGGGAAAACACAGTACATCATGGCAGGACTGTTTTTCTTTTTTTTTGGTTTGGTTTGGTTTTGAGACAAAGTCTCGCTGTGTCACCCAGGCTGGAGTACAGTGGCACAATCTCAGCTCACTGCAACCTCTGCCTCCTGGGTTCAAGCGATTCTCCTGCCTCAGCCTCCTGAGTAGCTGGGACCACAGGCGCCCGCCACCACACCTGGCTAATTTTTGTATTTTCAGTAGAGACGTGGTTTCACCATGTTGGCCAGGCTGGTCTTGAACTCCTGACCTTGTGATCCACCCGCCTCAGGCTTCCAAAGTGTTGGGACTACAGATGTGAGCCACTGCAGGAAAACAGTATTTGTGGAGGGGAATAAAATGTCAACCCACAGACTTATCAAATAACAATAAAGACATTTTATCTCATATCTGATTCAAAAGGCACTGCTTATCTAAAGATATGATTACATTAGAAACATTGTAGATAATCTCCATTAGGATATACACAAAATACATGTTATGGACCATCTGTGGATAAGTACTTGTTTTCAAATCTCATGTCACTCTTAAAATCCCAACACCTTAATGTGGCCTATGATTTCCTTATCCGTCCAGCCTCACTTCCTCCTCACTCTGCTTTCCAGCTGTACTCAACAACCTGGTTTCTTGAACGTCCCATGTGTTGCCCAGACACCACAGCTTTGACACAGACTTCCAGTTCCATCTTTCTGATATCCAGTTTGTCCTTCACATATCAGACAGAACCCCAATTTACATTTCCTGAGAGCCCCCAGCCCACATTATACTACAGCATGTTCATTCGAACCACAAAGATTTTCAGAGTGGCAACAGGCTCTACTTTAGGTTCTGGGTATACAAAGATAAATAAAACATTGTCCTACACTCAAGTAATATGGCTAAGTGAGGGAGAAATGTGTAAACAGTTAAAAGACAACAGGCATTTTGGGAGAAAGCACGGCTGTGCTTTGTGAAGTCAGCCTCAAATTTCAGATCCCTTGTTATTAATCTACCATCCACTGATTCTCCTGAACCACTGGTCACAAGCACAAGTATTTAGAGTAAGCAAGTAACATGAATGTTTGAGTCAGGCTGAGTCTGAGACAATAGCTCATGCCTGGACCTGTGGCCAATTGGAGAGGACACATCCTGTCTAAAACATTCAATTTCTCATTCTTTTTCAAATGCCATGCTTGCAAAACAAAATGTGCCTGCAGGCCTCATTTGGTTCAGGCTGCCAGTCTGTCTTTTGTACAATAATATTAACGTGTGTTGTTTACTACATGTAGGTCACTATTCTAAGCACTTTACATGGAGAAATTCATTTATTCCTCACAACCACCACTGAGGTTGGTATGATTTTGCCTGTTTTACAAATGGAGCAAGAGGCTTGGGGTAATTTGCTGAGGTTACACAACTCTTAGGGTGGCAGAGCTGGGACTGAACCCACACAGACAGGCTACTCTGGAGTTCACTTTTTTTTTTTTTTTTTTGAGTCAGGGTCTCTCTGTCACCCAGGCTGCAGCGCAGTGGCGCGATCCTGCTTGGCTCACTGCAACCTCCACCTCCTGTGCTCAAACAATCCTCCCACCTCAGCCATTGGAGTAGCTGGGACTACAGGCATTCGCCACTATGCCTGGCTAATTTTTATATTTTTTGTAGAGATGGGGTCTCGCCATGTTGCCCAGACTGGTCTTGAACTCCTGGGCTCAAGAGATTCACCTGCCTTGGCCTCCTAAAGTGCTGGGATTACAGGCATGAGCCACTGCGTCCAGCCCACACTCTTAAAAGTACTTCACGTCACTGTACAATACTCTACTGCCCTGTAGCTAATAACTGTATTTTTCACCTTATACTACAGAATGAGTTACATATTTAATAATTTATTGTGCCAAATATTCCTTTTTGCTGTTGAACAAGCTCTTAACTAGTATATACTGATATGATAGAAAAATGTATGTCTACCTATCTGTTTATTGTTCCATAAATTTAATCACCTTCCCATTCTACAAGCATCTTTCTCATTTGGAGAGTCTTAACTTTTAAGAAATAACTTTGTACTTACCCAAAAAATATACATTCATTATAGAAAAAAGTAGGTAAAATGAAGTATCAAAATTATTTTAATGCATTCCCTGACTGACTCTTCTCCCCTTCTTCTGACCCATTTCCAACACCCTTCCCAATTTTGGACCTGTGTTCCTTGCAGGAACAAATAGTAGGACGTTTTGTTTTATTTTCAGTAAGGAACCATATAATGTTTACAACTCTAAGGATCTTTCTGGACAAGGCAATTGATTAAGCCAGTGTCTTCAGAAAAGTCCAATTTATATGAGCTAAAACAAATCCAAGGGCACTTAGGGATTTGCTGAAATGGAAAAAATATAAACTCCCAAGTCTTTGATCTTAATTCAGTGTTTCAGTAGATCAGGGGATGTGGTCCCTTTATTCACAAACTATCCTAAGAACTCTGGACATTCTGTTCTTTTTACACAAGTAAGTTAAAGGCAAAAAAAATCAAGAGTCTTGACAGAGACCATCCATTCTGTTTCCTGGCCTTTGTACACACTGTTTCTTCAGCCAGGACCTCCCCACAAAAACGTCAACACTCCCTCCCCAAGCCCTGGGTCCTACCCAATCTTCCTGACACTATTTCTCCTCTGGAAAACCTTCTCTGACTGCCAAGCTGGTGAAGTATCCCCCCACACTCCCCCACCATATACACCCTGTGACCAGCACCTGACACCTATTTCAATTGTCTATTTCTCTCTCACCTAATTTGCAGTTGGAATTTATGTAGTAATTACCTTTTTTAACCTACTTTGTATCTGAAATTTAAGCAGTAATACTTATTTCTAAAAAATGTGTGCCTTTGAGCTTTTAAACTTGGCAGTTTACTTTATAATCTCAAGAATGGTAAAAATAATAATAATAATAATAATAATAATAATAATAGGCTTTGGCATTGAACTAATGTGGATCTGGCAACCAGCTCTAGTACTAATGCCTCCATGACCTTGAACTTAACATCTCTGAGACGTTTTATCATTTGGAAAATAAAGGCCTACTTCACAATGAGGGTTAAAGCACAAAAGTGCAAAGTACACCACCTGTTCAAGTTTGTGTTCAATAAGTGTTAGCTACAGTTACATTTCTCAAGAATTCAATTTCATGAACAGGAGAGATTCAACCACAAGCAAAGAATACTGCCAATTGATTGAGAACTACCCAAAAACTTATTTCATAATGATATGCAACTTTACCTACATTGAGAATAACCTGTAATTTATACTTAATATGTTATCTGCTATCCACTTATTCAACATCAAAGTACATCTAAAATCGTTTGAAAATGTATCTGACTCCTTTAAAATACTCTAATAAAAACCCTGAGATTTGAAAAATCAAAAAGAATGCCAGCATCATCTAAGGGAGTATCTTTTACACCAGGAAATCAATAGTACAGTAAATTTCACTGATAAAGACTCCACTTGAATCTCTACATTGGTAACTTTAGTTCCTTCAAATCTGTAAGCATCAAATTTAAAATGTTTAGAAAGTATTTTGAAATTATTTCCTTAATAATAAATCGGCTTCTGAGCCAGTAAAGAATCCACTAATCCAGTCACGTAATTAAACCCTCCTTTTAAGACCCTTAGAAAGGAAGCAAGAAGCTTAGATGACTGCTGCCAAATTTAACCTGGGAAGACCTGCAGATAATGCTTCCTAACAAACTCTCTGATGAACTTTTCAACCCTGGATCGTTCAGAATCCCAAGAGGAAACATGTCCCATTTCCTTGTATTTTCTTTTCTTTTTTATTTTTTTTGAGATGGAATCTTGCTCTGTCACCCAGGCTTGAGTACAGTGGTGTGATCTCAGCTCACTGCAACCTCCACCTCCTGGGTTCACGCGATTCTCCTGCCTCAGCTTCCCGAGTAGCTGGGATTACAGGCACCCGCCACAACACCAGGCTGACTGTTCTATTTTAAGTAGGGATGGGGTTTCACCATGTTGGCCAGGCTGGTCTCGAACTCGTGACCTCAGGTGATCCACCTGCCTCGGCTGGGATTACAGGTGTGAGCCACCACGCCTGGCCCCATTTCCTTGTATTTTCATTTGAAGATAAGCTGAATGGCTCTCAAAAGCCATAGAATTAAAGAAAGGGATATACTTTCAGCATCAGTACCAACTAAGAGTCTACTAACATACAAAACCACATTGCACATTCATTCAACTATACGTTTATTAATTTCTACTTGCTCTCAATCAGAAGCCATTGTAGGTGTGTGGTGGGGGTGATGTCAAGATGATTGAAACAGTGTATTCTTTTGTTCCAAAAGCTGTTTGAATTTGCAAAAATGTAACATTTTAAGCCACTCACAATTTAAGTAGGCACTAATTCATAGCTGATACCAAAGACTTAAATTGAGATAGAGCCGAATGGGGCAGGAGACAAGGCTACTGAAAATACAGGAAAAAGGAAACTGTGGCATAATCCTGGTCCTGAGAGTGAGATTCATTTAGAGTCAGATCGACCAGTTACCAGCAATGTAAAAAATTTTGGTTTTTCCAATTGGTAGGTATTTTATAAAAGTTTTATATTATTATTAGTTATTATTCATTTCTCTTTGAGACAGGGTCTTGCTCTGTCACCCAAGATGGAGTACATTCATGTGTCACTGCGGCCTCACCCTCCTGGGCTCAAGTAATCCTCCCACCTCAGCCTTCCTAGTAGCTGCACGTGCACCACCACACCTGGCTAGTTTATGTATTTTTGGTCGAGATGGGGTTTTCGATGTTGCCCAGGCTGGTCTCAAACAATTTAAAAGTTTGATGAACAAAAATGTGCCTTATTTCATAGGCTTTTAGGAAAACCAAATGAGAACACTGATGAAAGTATACAGCACAGTGCTCATCACTGGGAAGCACAATGTATAGTGCAGAATGTACAGTATAAAGTGTAGCAACTCTTAAATGGATGTTCAATACAATACTGTTAATATCACTTATACAAACTTTGTCAATACAGTTTTGTTCACGATCATAATGCTGAATGACAGAGTGAGGCAGTGGGATTAATAAAAAAGTAAAAGCTTCCAGACCAGCCAGAGCTAAAATCAAATTAAGGCTCTAGCTCTTGCCAGCCACTCCGACCTTAAAGAAGTCACATTATTATCATGGATAAATTTTTACACAAGATTGTAAAAATTAAATGTTAGGGATATAAAGCCCACAACACGTGACTGATCCTCCTCAAATATTAATTTCACTCTTTATGACTCCTAAATAAATGCATCTTCCAGCTGTTCTGAACACCTAGGTTATAGCTGCTCAGCATGTAAGCCCCTATGATAACTTGAGCCCTTTCCCCTTTCCTTCCCCAGTGGTGAAGGGAGGATGACATTCCCTCTCCCCGCCCGCTGGCTCGAGTGTGGCTTATGGCCTATGTACAGCTAAACCGATATTCCTGTTGGAGCTCCAGCTTCCAGGGACAGCACAGCAGCCAATGGCAGTGCCTCTGCCAGAATCTCAGCAGTCTTGGCACCCTAGTCCCACGGCAACTTCTCATCAATTTTGTGAGCTACTTGACATCCCATGCAATAAATTCATTTTCTCCTTAACAGTCACTTCCTGTTGTTCCTAAATAAGAACCCTAACTTTTATAAAACTAATAGACTAGAATTAACATCAGTGCCATGAAATTATTTTAATATATTTTTCTCCATGACTGCATATACAAATATAATGGAAGTAATGTATTCTTCTGCTGTAAAGATGGGTGGAATATATCAAAATCCACTCGCCGAATTTTCTTTAGAAAGTCCTCTAGAGAAACCTGGAAAAAAGAGAATAGTAATCACCAGATCATAAAATGATCAAGACTTAAAAAAAAAAAACTAAAGAATAAACACAAGTGTTTAGGCTATGTTAGTTTCCCTGAGATGGTTTTCTATATAATAAGAATTTAAGGGAGAATTTTTAAAGAGAGAAAGAAAATAAAAAGGCATCTAAGAAGCTTCTACTAGACCAGTAAAAGGGTATCACAGATCTAGTACCAGAAACACCAAGCCTCTTCTGCTCATAATAGAAAAAGCTTTGGTCAAGACATAAAGGATTAGCAAAATCATGTTTCCCTGGACTTATTACTAAATTCAGTGGAATGCAAACAGGCTGTTTCAATCAGGGAAAACGAAACATCCCCACCTCGAACCCCCAAATGTAGTGTACTATGAGGGGTAGCTCAAGTTGTCTTTTAAGACATTATTTTGTGAAGAAGCCGAACAGGTGTCCACGTTGTTGCTAGAGCACATGATTTTCAACCAGGCAAAATTATCACCCCATCCTTTCCCCACCACAAAAAACCTGACAAAGTTTCCACAAGGATAACAGCAGGACAGAAAACACCAATGATGTGCAGTATCTTTGCATTTTGGTTTTCAATTGTCTTGATTAATTTATAAATTTTTATTTTATTTTAATAACATTTTTGTTAAACAGGCAGGTCACTTAGTTTTGTGCTCCACCTTTCTAAGAGGCACCAGACCTCCTCAGGCCACATAAGCAGCGCCCCCTAGAGTTCTGCAGCACAGAACCTGGGTGATCAATGCAGGGATTATGCCTATAGATTCTGTAGAATATGCAGACAAACACAAAGAAAACAAAAAATATTTTCTTCCAGACTTTTTTCCCATACTTTTATAAATATAGGAGTGAAATACAAACAAATTCATTATCTACTTTTTAAAACCCTAAACTTACATATATACACAACAGGAGACATATGCATCAATGTGCCCAGTTGCCTTGTTTTATATTAGCAAGAAACTTAGAAACAATCCAGAGACCAGGTGCGGTGGCTCACACCTGTAATCCCAGCACTTTGGGAGACCAAGGCAGGTGGACTGCTTGAGCTCAAGAGTTCAAGACTCGTCTGGGCAACATGGCAAAACCCCATCTCTCAAAAAATACAAAAACAATTAGCTGGCTGTGGTGGTGCACACCTGTAGTCCCAGCTACTTGGAAGGCTGAGGTGGGAGGATGGCTTGAGCCTGGGAGGTCAAGGCTGCAGTGAGCCTGCACTCTAGCCTGGGTGACAAAGACCCCATCTCAAAAAAAGAGAAACAATCCAGAAATGCTTTGATCTAAAAAAAGAGGAATCATTTGTACAATGAAATATTAATATTATACTGCAGTGAAGTGAATGTACTATAGGTAGATGCAGTAATATGCACTAATATGCACAAATCTCAGAAACACTAAGAGTGTGCACATGTCCTAGAAGACATAAATAGAAAATGATCCTTTTTTATAAAGCTCAAAAACAAAACTAAGCAGTATGTTGTTCAGGAATATATAAAATGATGAAAGTCTTCTTGGAATGAAAGGAAGAAAATAATACACACAAAATTGAGGAGAGCTACCTAAAAATAAAGGCAGTGGGCCGGGCACGGTGGCTCATGCCTGTAATCCCAGCACTTTGGGAGGACGAGGTCAGGATCATGAGGTCAGGAGATCGAGACCATCCTGGCCAACACGGTGAAACCCCATCTCTACTAAAAATACAAAAAATTAGCCAGGAGTGGTGGTGGGCGCCTGTAGTCCCAGCTACTCGGGAGGCTGAGGCAGGAGAATAGCGTGAATCCAGGAGGCAGAGCTTGCAGTGAGCCGAGATCGCGCCACTGCACTCCAGCCTGGGCGACAGAGCAAGACTCCGTCTCAAAAAAAAAAAAAAGAAAAATTAAGGCATTGGCAGGGGAATGAAATGGGAAAAACATGAGTGCAATTTAATGGTGACATGCTAGTTCCTGGCTTGAGTGGTGAGTTCATGGTGTTTATTACACTATACATTGCAATATATACACCTAGACAGATATATTCATTTTTAATATATAGCAAATATTAACAATTTTAAAGGAGAATAAAAGAAAAAACTTTGAAAATATTTCAGTGCACTTTCTTTCACATGTTCTCTTGGTTTTGAAAATATTTTAGTGTACTTCCTTTCAGATGCTCTCTTTTTTTTTGTAAAAAAAAAAAAAAAAGCTCATGCTATTTCATGTTCTATAACTTGCTTTTTTATCCCTTAATATACTGTGATCAACTTGCTATCTGTAAGAATGTTAATTTTAATAGCGTGATTATATTAATTATAAGGAATAGTTAACAAAATTAAGGTACAGACACACAATAGAATATTATATAGCCATTAAGTATTAGATTTATAAATTTTTTAAATGATTCAAAAAATGCTCAACAAACAGTACACTAACATATGAAGTATAATTTCAACTACACACAAAAATTAATTTCCAAAAACCCCAGAATGACTAGCAGTTCTCTTTTGGTGTTAGAATTACAGGTAATTTTTTTTTAATGGAATGCTTCATGAATTTGCGTGTCATCCTTGCGCAGGGGCCATGCTAATCTTCTCTGTATCATTCCAAAGTTAGTATATGTGCTGCTGAAGCAAGCATGGGTGATTGCTATTTTCTCCTAATACTGTTTATATTGTCCAAATCTTTACTATGAAATGTATTGCTTTTAGGATTAGGAGAAAATTCCATTAGAATACAGAGGAAATGTGACCTCAAAATCAGACAGAACTCAAGTGGATATTTTTACATCGGGCTTTGGTTCAAAGGAAAGTCTGGCTAATGGTAAATAAACTGAGTAACAAATTGATTGTGAAACTCTCAAAGACACTACAAATTTCTGAATATGAATTCTTGAAACCTCATCTATGAAGAATACACCATACCTAGATTAGTCATGTTCAAAGAGTTTTAAACTGCAAATCCTTTCCTTGAACAAAATAATTAACAGATGCCCCAAATATAAAACAAGTAAGAGGCCCTGTCCAAGCTGGAATGAGGGTGTATGACAGAAGCAGTTCCTCAGGAACTGCCATGTTGCCACTCTAGTCTCTCTTGGCACAGGATAGAAACTGAGAGCTGGGGCTGACCATGGTGGCTCACGTCTATAATCCCAGCACTGTGGGAGGCCAAGGCGGGTGGATCACCTGAAGTCAGGCATTCGAGACCAGCCTGGCCAACACAGTGAAACCCCTCCTCTACTGAAAATATAAAAATTAGCAGGGCATGGTGGCGCATGCCTGTAATCCCAGCTGCTCGGGAGGCTGAGGCAGGAGAATTGCTTGAACCCCAGAGGCAGAGGCTGCAGTGAGGAGAGATCATGCCATTGCACTCCAGCCTGAGCAACAGAGCAAGACTCTGTCTCAAAAAAACCCAAAAAAAACAAAAAAACAGAAGCTGAGAGCTGGGCCCCACCCCCAGAGTTTCTGATTCAGCAGGTCAGTGGTGGAGCCCAAGATCTGCATTTCTAACAAGTTCCCCAGTGAGGTGGATATTGCTGGTCCAGGGACCACATTTTGGGAACCACTGGTCTATGACAGTGGTTTTTACCCCTGGCCATACCTTACAATTAAAACTAAAGGGGGCTGGGCACAGTGTTTTATGCCTGTAATCCCAATACTTTGAGAGGCCAAGGCTGGAGGATTGCTTGGGTTCAGAAGTTCAAGACCAGCCTGGACAACATAGTGAGATTTCATCTCTTCCAAAAGTAATTTTTAAAATTAGCTGGGTGTGTTGGTACACGCCTGTGCTCCTAACTATTTGGGAGGCTGAGGTGGGAGGATCACTTGAGCCTAAGAGTTTGAGACTGTAATGGGCCATGACTCCACCACTGCACTCCA